AGTTGATTTAACAGTGGTAGAGCCCGCTTTAACATCTTCGCACGAATCGGCCCGGCTTGCCCGGTGAAATACCACGACCACACAGAAGACAGGCGTCAAGTGGAAGCAATTCCGCGTTTCGTCTGATGAGTGTGCGTCCCGGAGGCCTAATTTAGTCCTCTTTCCCTTCCCACCCTTTTCTTATAAATGAAAGGATGCATGGGAAGGGAAAATATTTTCTTTCTGTGCATCCTCTCCTCCGTCGATTAAAGGTAGGCAACGCATATGCAATTGCGTATGTCTATGGGCAACGGTTACTTCGCTATTTCAGCGATTTCAGGTGGCCGGTCGTTCGTTTGCCACCATATGACATAAAAAAAAATATGTAGAACATCGCATAGATTAGAACACATAGACATAACATAATTAAGGTTTCTTTTCATTGCGCACGGACGGAGTCTCGGGCGACAGCTAGTTTAGAATTATCTATAGAAAGCTAGTAAAAAAATATATTACCTTCTATTAGTCGACATAATGATAAACGAGAATTCGCTTGTATACAGCAACGGTAAGTGATTCATCTAACTGCTTCCGAATTCGATTCATTCTTAGCTGATACGTGCCCAGCGTTAAACAGAACGTCTGGAAGAAAATATATCGAAGTATCCCTGGATTGTATCTATCAGTACTAGGTATAAATGCTACCATATACATTTGGGTTTATTGAACTTTTAAATTAATGCTTGTAAATTTAACGAATGTGTTTATAAAGTTTACTTTTTTAAAGATTTTGCAATCAACTATATCGCTGCAGACAAATCTGGTCCGGTTATAAGAGCCGTTATTTCAATTCTATTGATTACATTATTTTATTTATTGCAGCATCGGTATCTCAGAGGTTAAGCACTTGTAATCTGCAGGTCTTGGATTCGAACCCTGCCATGTACCAATAAGTTTTTCGATTTACATACGTACATTTCTGACGTTCTTACGGCGAAGATAAACATCGTGATTTAACCTGTATATATCTTCGAATATTCAAAGATATGTGTGAAGTCAACCAACCCGTAGTCTCCAAGCCCCTCAGTGGGGACTATAGCGAGCTGATGATTACGTTATTCCTAATGCTAATAATATCTATCCTTAGTGTAGAACCCCATAAATGACGTAAATCTTTTGCCCTGTTTTTCTAAGGAAAATACTACAAATAAATATCTTCCATTGAAACTTCCGTGGAATCCAATTAATTTTATATTTGGACAAATAAGTTCGTTAGTACTTGGCGCCGAGATGTAATCACGTGACTCTTGGCAACCGTTCCACAAACACAAGTCAATGCATGATTACTCACATGAGATTTCCTATTTGTATTGGATAGAATTATTATGTATACAATTACAATCAAATTACCATATCATTGAGAGTATATTATCCATACGAAGAGAAGACACAAATAATTGTAATTGATTTATCGGGTTTCTAATACCAAAATCTCTGTATAAAAGATATCGTCATTCCTGTCATTATTTTTGAAAAAACAGTATGTTATAAATATGAATTTTGGTCTCAGAAACCAATGGTTGGAATTTATTAAGCTGTATTTATTATACTATGTTACAACGAAAGGAACTTGTAAGAGAAACTATTAAATTCGAAATCTAAATAATCATGTCACATAAAAAAACTTCGTTTTAATTTTTTTCTAGTTTAAGATTAAGAGAATAAAAAAGAGAAATAGATTTATTCATAATCAAACAAGGATATCTGAACCGGTGAGAGAGGCGCTGCTATCGGTGTTTGTTCTGTCAGAATACATATAAAACCTACTTAGTTAGTCACAGAAAATAACATAAAAGAAAAAAAGACATGACCAGCTACAGTACAAAGAAGATCTTGTGACATTTTTGACGTTGACTGAGGGGCGCTAGTGAGCTGATATTATTTTGTTTGACATATGCCCACCGGTTCAGATAGTCTTGTTGGTTTCTATAAACAAGTATCTATATACTCTGAATGCATTTTAATAAATAAATTAAATAAATGAAAGATACCAGGTCAGAAGAAATTTCAAACAGGTTGGTCTTTGTCATATCTTGGGGGTCATAAATTTATACAAACAGTTAAAACTACAACTCGTTGTCATATTTGTGACTTCGAATCAATAAAGTATTATAGGTCAAAACTATTAAAGAGAAAATTTTAACAGTAGTTTTACGATACTACATCGAAACATCACATAAAAGTTATGGATATTCTAAAGTACGGATTTTAAGAGTTTGCTCTAAAGAGGGATGTATAGTTTGGTTAATATATTATAGGATAGTGTGTAGTTGTCCTTTATTCTTAGCGCTGTTGAAGCTGGAATCAGTTTTATGGAGGGAACGTGAGACTGAACCCGCGTACTTAGCCGCTCGTAAATCTGTCCGACGCCGACGCCAACGCCGTACCTATTTTACAGTAACGTCTACTAAACTATTGCGAAGCAGTCGCGACACATACAAATATACATTGCGCTATTTATTCAGTTGTTTTTCTAATAAATAGCACGATTCCTTTCAAATTTTATATAAATTACTATAAAATATCTGAAATACACAAATAAGAGGAAAAAAATAGAAATCTCTTACTGGTCCCATTCTAATGATTAGCATAAAGGTAATACAACGTACAAATGTTACTAAAATTACGAAAAGCTTCGAGTTAAAAAAAATAAAGAATTAAAATCTGACAATAGAATTGCAGTATTCAGGGAACGCAGCGCTCTGATTCGGGTCGCACGTCGGAATCCTACGACAACCAAAAAAGCGCACGCCGAATGAAAGCCGACAACTTTCTACCTTTTTTTCCCATCCGGTGGACAGTCTTTTATTTTTACCCTCGCGTTTCACGCTCGCAGCATTGACTGGTCCGCACTGATACATGTCGGACAATGTTTCGTATTTACAGTATACAGTTATAATCTGCGCCTTTATTAACTTTTAGATCAACCAACCAATTTAAACAAAAAAAAAAACAAGCAAACGTGTAAGTCTTCTTCTACGCAATGTGGGTGCACAATTATTTAATTTAATCTCACTTATATTATAAATGCGAATGTTTGTTTGGAGGTATCTTGACAACGGCTGTATAGATCTCGCTGAAATTTGTCATAGATGTAAAACAAAGTCTTGAAGTGAAACACATAGTCCACTAATATTTTTTTTTATCCGCGCGGACACAGTTGCAGTTGTATAACATTAACTGAAGGCGTTATTTATAAAGCTTAAACGAGTAAAAGTAGGAAAATCAATATAGATGTCTACTCCCAATATTAAAATACCGTAAAGATCCAATGAGTTCGGGCGACTTTCACGTGACGTCATAAAAATTTTCATAATGTCGACCACAGATGTTATATTAAATTTTAAATATCGAACGCCGTGATCGGCCGCCGTTCAATTTGCCGCGAAATCTCGATCACGACAGCTTTAGGGCGCGTATACATGACGATAAAATAATCGCGCCGTCGGCACCCGATCGTACGATATAAAGATTCGAACGAATGATTCCATCTCGTTCGCGTCGTTTATTGTTATTTGACTGCTTTATTGCCGATCATGGCCTTATTTTTTTCTCAATGGAAAACGTTCATACATCGTTCGGAAAGACGCGTTTATCATAGATACATTTGTACCATTTTATATTTATTTTGTTAGAAAAAAGTACTGTAAATGTTGTTTAAACCATTTGTTTCAGTCTCGTCTACGATTCTGAAAGGTCATCATAATGATTGTTGGTAATGACACTCACAAATTATAAATGCCGTGGCATAATCTAGTACTTTCTTCATTTACGCGAATTTTGTGTTTGCCTGTAATTGAAATATGTTTTAGCTTACTCTTTATCATGTAACCTATATACTAAGTAAAATTGTATGTAACACATTTTATTGGCATTCCTAAATAAATAAATAAAAAAAAACATTTTATTGTTTTTCATATCTTTTTTTATGTCACAAATCAGCAAAGCTTATAATTCGGATAACTATTTCTAATACCCAAATAGCAATAATTATCTTACATATATTATTACAAAAACAAAAAAATAAATTGGTAGATATTTTACTTACATTTTCCTAGAACTTGTTTATTACAAACAAAACGTTATTCCAACGTTCGCATCATTTATATAAACAACGTTGGAGCAGACATCAAAGTATCAAATGTTTTGTAAACAAAAGAAATCAAACGACTAATTAACGACTTTCTGTAGGTATTGGGTCGTATTCGTTTCGCTTTACAATGTTTAATGTTTTTGTACCTCTTTCCTTTTAAAATAAATGGAACAATAATTACCGATATGTAAATACAAACAATTCATGTTTGCCAAACAAAATGAGGTATATTAAAAAATTCGCTCCAATTTATTTGGAAACCGTAAAGTTTCCGATACGAAAAAAGCTATCAAAGAACATTTCCCCGTGTTCCGCGCGGAGTGTAGAAGCCATCAAAATTCAAGCCAGTTTTCCCGAACCGACGATATTGTGAGATACCTTATATTAAACTGTAATAAAACTCCCCATCTCTAATATAATTTCGCGTCCTGGACCAAATATAAGGCTGCAGACACATGGGCAGGGCGTAAAAATTGGTCACACTTATACAATCCAATTCAATCAAATTAATTTTTTTATATTTGTTACTATGACGTCATGAAACAAAGCCATCAACAAACAGTCAGTTAGGAAAATCACTTTAAAAATAATTAGTGAATTCCGACAAATTTCAACGCAAATAAGCAGAATATAGATATTTTAATGAGATTCTCAGTTATCTCGAAATTTATCTTAAATCCTTTGACAATTACCCGAAATAACTATACCAAAATAAATATGAAGGTATTCTATTTAAAGACTTACGCAATTTTTTTTGTAAGGTAATAAATCTCAATAAGAAATAATTCCAGTGTGAAATACCCCTAAGTCAAACGGCAGTCGCGCGGCGGCGCTGTCGGCAATCAATCGATAGGAACCGGTTGCCAAGCAACGATCGTGTTGCAAAATAAACAATCAGAATCGGGGCCCGGCCGTGAGCAAATTTGCTTTCTTATTTTATTACTTGTGTCAACATTTTAGATCGATATTATCGGATTATTTACTCCCCTACGTTGTATCATGGTATTTTGATTCTTTTATTGCAAACATGGTGCTGCTACCTCCTTGCGTTCCGGATACGTGCGGGAAGGATTTCCGCAACTCGTTGCATAAGCCGAGTCCAAACTATCCTTATGGCAGTAGGAAGAGGAAACCTCGGGTCGTGCCCGCTTTCACGATACAAGCGATGCAGAAGAACACGAAGGTGAAACCGCCACCAAAGTGCGGTGTGTACAATCCGCTGCCCGTCAGACCGACCATGTTCCGAGCCTGCTATCAAAGGGGCGAGTTTCCTCTTTCCATTGAATTCGTAGCAAGCGGGAAAAAGCTTTCTTGGAAGGTAACTGTGAACGTGTTGTACGGTGTCCGTTTTGTCGTGTTCCGGGTTGGGTTACATTGAAGTCGCATTGTGTGATCTGATTATTTCTATTTCGGTTTAGTAAAAAATATTTTGTGTACCAGTGAAAGGGAATATTTTTTCATTGTAATAGCTCACTTAAGTCCTCATAATGTTAGATATTTTAGTTGCAAACTTGTCTATTTTTTTTTTCTAATTTATAATAGTAATCAGCAAATAAAGTCAAACTGCCAATAACTGTATGAGAGCAGATACAGAATTTAGTCTAATTCCAGCTGTCATCAAATTCACTACCAAAATCTGAAATCAGATTAAATCTAAGCTGAGCTCTAAAGCCCTTTGTGGACTGTTAGACTTCCTAGAGCTTTGTCTGTTACAATCCATTTGCTAGTTAGGATGGAACATTTTGTTACATTCAGTGCAAGCTATTCTTTGTTTCAGGGACTATTAGTAAAACTTATAATCATTTCATGTCGAAATTAAAAGTATAAATAACAATGTTTAAAAAGATTTTATTTTTCACTAAAATGTATTTAAGGTAATCAATTCCTCAAATTTATTATCAAGTTTAACCATGTCTTATAATTTTTAGGTACCTGTAGAAAAATTGGACTTCCATCATTACCTGCCGATATTCTTCGACGGACTTGCTGAAGCGGATTACCCGTTCACATTCATAGTCGAGCAAGGAATCCATGACCTGGTCACCAAGGGGTCTCACAAAGTCTTGCCTGTGGTACCACAAATTATAATACCAATAAAAAGTAAGTGCAAATGCTAAGCTGTAAAGGCAAACAGTGACTACTCAATGACAAAAATTAAGTGCAAATGGTCTTGGACTACTTCATATAAATACATGTTGATTTTAACTGTTATGATAACTAGATATTGTGTTGTTTGGGACATTTTTCTGCATCTCCTTTCAAGAACTAATATTTAATTTATGGTATTTTATGAAATTTCTCAATCGTATTTATAAAATTAATAAGATTAGTAACATTCTTCCTAGAAATTATCTATTGTTTGTTCAGTCACCTCTAATTTCTCTTCTCATGTGCAGATGCGATGGCGACAAAACGACCTACGGTAATATGCCACGCGCTGCGCTGCCTGCAGATGCTGGCCACGTACTGTGACCACGTGGGAGAAGCGCTCGTACCATACTATCGCCAGATATTACCTATGCTTAATTTATTCAAGGACAAGAACAGTGAGTACATTTATGTCTTACGAATGGGCTATCTATCCTATCCTATTAGTTTCATAGGATCATTTACGCTGTATAAGTTTTGAAAATTAAAAACTTTAATTAAAACTAACTGTCGCCCGTGACTCCGTCCGCGTGGAATAAAAAAAAACTGTTGTGTTATTCCTGAATGTGTTTTATCTCTATGCAAAATTTCAGCAAGATCTATGCAGCCGTTTTGGAGATACCTTCAAAAAAACATACATGTACACATTCGCATTTATAATATTAGTGAAATTAATATGACCTTAAAATTATCTTCAGTATTTTGTCATTTAATTATGCAACTAAATTTTTAAATTCTTTTTCGATTGTATTATATATTTGATGTCTCTACATCTCTCCTACAATAAGTTTATTAAGCATACGATACAGACAACTAAACGGTATGACAAAGGACTTGCTTAACAGGTTATTGATTACATCCGCTTGCAGTACTTCATTTATGTCGACACTAGCAACTGTCTTAGTAACATGTGTCGCACAACTGTATCGGATTAGGCTCACTAACTATGCTATAATATTATTTGTCATGTTACGTGTCTGGATTACGATATCTTAATATATTGGGCCTAGCACGAATATTTGTGACAATCGCTTTCATATTGTCAAGGTCAATTATGTCAATAAGAATTTTGGTGCACTTTACGCCTGCTGCAAATTTTGTCGATAACTATGCGATGGCGATTATCACAAATATTCATGCTAGGTCCACTGTTATAAGTGTGAATATTCTAAGTTCATTTAAAGTTCACAGTATTACATTGATGATTTTGAACTAAAAAACCAAAAACCTTATTTGATTACTAACAAAATAAAGAAGCATTTTTTATTATTATAAATATCAAAAGGCAAAGTTTTCACATGTCTGCAAAAAAGGAAGTTATACAGCAGACAAATTTATTCTTAACATAACATATTACCAGATTTATTTTCAGTAAGGTGTAAGTCGTAATCTACTTAGTGTAACATTTAAGTTAAAGCGTGGGAAGTTACAAAGGCACAGTTTGCAATATTAGCCTGACGGAGTTACTCCGTGGCGTGGCGACGAAAACATTACAAAGCCCGCAACTATCCGACAACTCGAGAAATGAGAAAACACCAGTCGCTGTAAACGTGCGACTTTAAGTCGCATATCCTTCTTTTGTTTTTGTGCTGTAATAGTTAAGGAGACATTATTTTTGAAGACCTATTGGGCATAATATTGTTTATAAACTATTATCCGAAACATTTTAAACCGTGTTAATATATTTTATCAGTAGATAGTAATCGTAGTATTGAGCTCTATATTGTCCAATTCGACTAGATTATTAGCACGTATTTTACGTGAGGGCACTGACTATAACCTTTACGGCAAATATACTGAAAGCGACTGATCTCTCGTCTGTATTTTGTGTCACTAGTGCGGCACGTAGAGAATGGCCGCAACAACGCGTCGCCGCCGACACCCCAAATACTCTGACGCCTTCGCCCCACGACTAGCCGAGTAATTAATCTTCCCCGACGCAACGACAAGTCTATTATAGCGGAAACAATACCGCTCCGATCATATTGAGATGTTCGATATTTTCTGCTCTATTATTTTCATCATGGTGACACTATGTGACAAAAGCTATGCTTCATGTTACAACATTTTTATTGAAAAGGATAGTAACAATAACTGTCACAATTAGAATCCTTAAATGGTAGTTAAGTACTCACTAAATTTATACTAGGAAACTTCGGCTATTTAACAATTCTGACTGCGTGTATATGCATTGACTCATTGTTCATTTTCAGACACACTTTAAACCATGTACCCGTATATGTATGAATGTAGAAGAAGCGAGAGAGATGAGGACCGTACCAAATAGAAGTCCATGGACTCTTCCTACCCCTCTGGATCGTAATCCAGAGGGGTAGGAAGAGATCATGCAACTACAACATCATGCCCGTAGGCATGATGTTGTAGTCGTTTGAAACCATCAAAAAATTAGTTTTCTTTTGGATAATTGATTAATATATTGAAGATAAATATAACGTGATTTTCTTTTCTAACCTACAGATAATATGGGTGCCGGAATCGATAGTAGCACATCCCGCGGCGAGAATGTTGGTGACTTGATAGAAGAAACACTTCAGTGTTTGGAACGTTACGGTGGTCCGGACGCGTTTATAAACATTAAATACATGATACCAACGTACGAATCTTGTATGCAAAATTAATATAGACAATTTAGACTGTCTGCACTTTTTAGAATGTTATTGCTTTAATAGCAATTAGTATAAATTTTAGCTTGGATAGCTTTAATTGTTTAATTCATGATTCATACTAATTTTTATAGTATGTGAATTATATGAAAATCCTTAGCTAAATTGAAGTGAGATGACGAGAATATTTTCAAGTCATGAACATTTTTTATTTCTCTAATAACTAAGAGTTGTGAACGTGTAATAATTTTGAATGTATTACTTGCTCCATAAATTGAGATGGTTGTGCATTTTATTGAACACCATTTATTTGTGCCATGGTTGTTTGTCATAGTAACCTTGGGTTAATTGCAAAACCATTAATGTGTACTTTCTTGTCATTAAAAAAAAACTGAGATTAACATTTGCCTACAGGGTGTTTAAGCAAAGGAAACCTACGGTAATTAATTGTTAATACACAGCAAAGTTATATTATGATAACGGTAATAGTTATAAATATATTGCCGTCAAATTCGATTGACTTAACACTTTTATTAAACATAATGTTATCTCAGTTTTTTTTAAGAAATAAAAGTATGATTTTATTGTACCAGAGTAGTTTGTCAGTGGAAGCCCACGGTTATGTTTTCATAAAACACAGTAAATTATTAAAATTAATTGCGATAATACCAGGCAATATTAGTCGAAGTATCCATCAGAATATGAATACTTTGTTTGAGGACTATGGTTCCTTGTCGATGGAGCTATTTCCAGATACAACGTCCACTCTCCTATATGAATGTAATCGTAAATTAATGTTAGTGTAATTGATTATAGTTACGTTTGTCTGTTAAATTGCTCAAATGTCTACATTGTGATATTTTTTTTACTCAAATATTGTTTAAATCCTTGCTGATTTGACTTATGTTTTTGTTAATATTTGCTTATTTGTTTTTATCGCATCGAATATATAAATATGAATATTACAAAATGTTGTTTTAATTGAAACCCAGAGCTAATAAACATTTGTACTTGAATATATGCTCCAGTATTTAAATCAAACCATTTTTTGACAGGCTGTCGCCCAAGATTCCATCTACATGGAATTAAAAAAAAACTTAATTAGTAGCCTTGGTGTTATTCCAAGCTATGTTCTACATCTATGGCAAATTTCATCGCGATCCATGCAGCTGTTCTGAAGATACCTTTTAACAAACATTCAACTAAACATTCGCATTTATTTATAATATTAGTAAAAATTTTAGGGCACAAACCATAGCAACCATAGGCATCAAAAAAATAATATAAAATTAAGTAACAATAATTCATGGCGTTTGTGTTTATTATTCAAATAATCCCATATCGTCATGTGATTAGCAAATAAATCGATGCAGCGAGCGTCATAATTTGCTGGATAAATTACATGACAGATTGTGGAATAGTTAACAAGGGTGTATTGAGTTTATTAATGCGGTCTCCGCTTCGCCGGAACCTCTCGGGAACGTCATGTCAATATTTGGATCAACCGGAGCCAAAGCAATTTACAAGCGGCGAAGCAAAATGTACAGCTCTATGTATGCATGTATGCATGCAATTTGCATTTCAAGTTCCTTCAGTTTGGGTGAAGCTAAAACGTATGCATGTAAGTTGTTTGTGAGCTACTCCGCTCTTTGTCACATTTTACGAACTTTCTGATCGATCAGCAACATATTTTTTTATGTAAAATACATATCAAAGAGGTAAAAATAAACGAGACCTACAAATTACTAGCTGTCACCCACGACTCCGTTCACGCGGTATTAAAAAAAACTTAATTAGCAGCTCGTGTGTTCTTACAGACTGTATTCTACATCTATCCCAAATTTCAGCGAGATTCATGCAGCCGTTCTAGAGATACCTTCAAACAAACATCCATCTAAACATTCGCATTTATAATATTAGTAAGCAGTAACATAGAATAATAGATATTGGACTCTTCAACGCAAAAGAAACCTAAACACTCGTGATATAAAGTTGATATCGATATAAATAGATTTGCGGCTTCGTTATGAATTTTATAGAATGTAAAAATATTGATGGCTTTTGTACCCACAAATATTTTTACCAGCCCTATTTGAATAAGCTCAAAACACCTATATTTATTGAAATATTGCTTGTTAAAATTGTTTTTACCATTTTCTCTTGTAATATCAAACGCGTCGTGACTCAATTCCTCAGAAGGTCGACTCATTTGACATACGAAACATCAAAGGCCTTTGGTCCATTGGCACTTTCATATCAAGGTGTAGACGACATTTTACAATTTTGTGTTACTTTATATGTTACTAGCTGTCGCCTGCGATTCTGTCCGCGCGGAATAAAAAAAAAATAATAGTGACCTATGTCTTCTTCCAAACTATGTTCCACATCTGTGCCAGATTTCATCAAGATCCGTTGAGCCGTTTCGGAGATACCTTCAAACATACATACACCCATCTAAACTTTCGCATTTATAATGTTAGTAAGATATTTAACTTGACAGTAAAGTTGTATAAATATATAGCGATTCTTTCTTGTACTTTTTTTTTACTTATAGATTCCAGATTGATGAAGCACTCAAGAAGAGCGATATTAAGAACACCAGACAACCGATGTGCGTATACATACATAGATGTATATATGTAGTGAGGTGTGTCAAAACTGCGCCCAATGCAAATCCTTGGTATCCGTCCGGATTCTGCCGAGAATTATGTCGTTTTTCTTTAACTATGTACAATATTAAAATAGATTAATTTATATTAATTTTCACTGAGCTGTAACAAACTGTTCTCGTGTACATTTATCAGTTTCTCGCAGGCGATGCGATGGTGTGGATACAGAGCGACACCTTCTTAGTCGGCCAACATTTATTACATGAGAACAAGGGGTTAGAGAAAATGGATATGGCATTAAGTAAACCCGTATAAGTTAATAAATTTTACTAACATTCCTTCTTTTACTGTTTTAAATCAAGAATAATATTTTTTTTAAATATTGGTATAGCTAAATCATAATTATTAAAACATATTTAAGGGACATACAAGAAATGAGTATTTGCTAATTACTGAACAGACAGACATAAATTAAGTTGAAATAAACTGTATAAAATTCAAGATTTGAAGAAATTATAATCTCTTCCAGATTTAAAGATCTGTGTAGCGTCGTGTCTGTCGCAAATAATTTATCTTGGGGACAATCAGGACGGTAATTTTCGTGAGGAGTGCGCTACGAAACTATTTTTGTCTCGACTTAAGTTTCATTGTTCCTTGTAGATTACAATATTGTTTCATTCTTTCATTCTTTTATTACCAAATATGATTCGTTTATTTTTAAACTTTCCATATTATTTTATAAATGATTTTAAATATTACTTTTTTAACTCGATACAAAAATTAATTACAAAGATAAAATTACAAACGGCATTTATTCTGAAGCTCGTTGAAGACTTAATTTGGTTAGTATTTGTGCTTAGGAAGAATTCTATTCAATTAATCTGTACTTCAATAAAATACGAGTATACAAACAACTATAGTTGATGGAAGGCAATTTATTAAGACAAAATAATCTTCTCGAACCGTACCCCACTTCTGAAGACCGAAGATAAAACAAAAATATTAATACACATAACAAAGCCAGCAAAAGCCGGAGAAGTCGAGATCGGTAAAACACTGGAAAGCACTAAAGGAGCGCACTATCTCTCGTTCCACGCAATAAATGCTGGCAGAAAAATCGCAACGATTAATATCGGCCGCCGGGCGACTGTTATGCCATATTTTTCATCATTATATGCTCATTAAAAGAGAGGCACTACCGTAAAATCGGATCACGGCATAAAAGGGAGAGACGCAATCGTAGACGAAGATATTTTATTCAGACGGTCGCTCGAAGAGGTATTTAAATCCGTATAAATTTCAATTTGGGCATCAAGTTTAGAACCGTTGTGAAATGTTAATCATTATTTAACGCTTGCGGGAGCGGTTATTGGAGATGTCATAATTGCCAATTTGGACTCTTACCGAGCAAAAAATTCAATATTCCATTTTGTATATTACCAACAAATTAAATATTTATTTGATTAAAATAGTAAGCTATACAGTAAATGTTATTTTGAATTAGTTATATATTTCGTGGTGTATAAATAACATATTGTAACAAAGTAATGAAACGGTGATAAGGAACTAATTCATTGTTAGTATCCATACCGTAGGTACTGTGTACAAAGTAATAAAGCATATTTTGACGGTATTTGTAAAAAAAAACAATTTTCAAACTAAATTGATGTATAAAAACGGCTAAACACTCACGTATATTCGTCCGGTGGCGGCACCGACTAGTTTCGACCCCATCGGGGGCCCTTCATTAGGATGAGTGGTACTGGTATTATTTCGCGGACAGTGAGCGACGGCCCCGATGGGCTCGAAACTAGTCGGTGTCGCCACCGGACGTATATACGTGAGTGTTTAGCCGTGTTTATATATCAGTTTAGTATAATGTCTCACGAAAGTTTGAATAATTTAATTTTCAAACTTATTAGAGATTTTGGTTAAGCACAGTAATACCTCATTATCTGGTAAATGCAAATATTTGTAAGTTTTGGTTTAAGAATATCATAATAATATCAGTTTCCTACTAAAATTTTGATAGTAATAGTTTGCAATTCCTATTTTCTTATATTCAAATAATATGGAAAACAAAATCTAACATTTATATTTGGAAATAGGAAATCGTATCGGAAATAAATCCCTGAATTCGAAGCTTATAGCAAGCTCAATGACGTAGAAAATATTGTATGTCGAAGGCATGTGCAAAATTCAATGCAAGTCAAAGCGGGCCAGGGCAGCGTTCAGGGCACACTGTCTCCATTCCTTTGATGTCGGCCTCATTTTGCATATTGCTTGAATATTTTTTAAAACTGCAATATTCTTTTGAAATACAAACGATGTTGCACTTTATGTTATGCCTTGATATGATTTTATTTTTCACAAATATATAAATAAGACATTATTTTAATAAGAGAATTCGTTTAACATTCATAGACAAAATGTGTATAGACCAATTGTGGAGCGTCGGTGGCTCAGTGGTCAAGCACTTGACTTGCAATCTGCAAGTCCTGGGTTCGAATCCCGCCATGTACCAATGTGTTATTCGATTTCCGATTAACATATGTACATTTATCCAACGTTCTTACGGTGAAAGAAAACATCGTGATGCAACCTGCACATATCTGAGAAGAAATTCAAAGATATGTGTGAAGTCAACCAACCCGCATTTGGCCAGCGTGGTTGACTATGGCCTAATCACCCTTAGCTTAGGATAGTCTCCGAGCCCCTCGGTGGGGACGTATGGTGAGCTGAAAATATCTATAGTAATTTTATTTTAATAAGATGGAAATACAACGAAACCATTGATTTGAATTTATTTAAATGTCTATATTTGTATACAGTTTTTTCTTTTTGTAATGTAAAAGCAAAGAGCTTTTCTTGCTAATTGAATAACAACGCGAAGGAATCGTGATAAATTTTTCATGGACATAAAAAATGAGAAATTGTATTTCTCCCAATGTTTCGCACCTGGCTAAGGGAGTGGGCTGGTTATCGATGGTAATTTATTGTCGACTTGTATATTAAATCGAAGTTTTTTATAGTTATGTATCCGTTGACTCTTAACACTTTGAATCTCCTCGAGTGGAACCAATTAGAAGCGCAATGTAAATATGACTGAATAAATTCACAACTCAACTCGTTGTGAAGTTCATCTTCGCATTCAGTTCAGGAATTCCACTTATTGCTGACTCTTTTCCATTGCATTCGATTTTATTTCAAAGTTTTTATTACCAGATCCATCTAATATTATAAATGCGAATGTTTAGATGGATGGTTGGATGTTTGTTTGAAGGTGTCTCCAGAACGGCTGAACAGATCTCGATA